AGGAGCAGGAGGAGGAGGAGCAGGAGTAGGAGCAGCTGGAGGAGGAGCAGGAGGAGGAGCAGGAGCAGGAGGAGGAGGAAGAGGAGGAGGAGGAGGAGGAGGAGGGAAAGAGTACTGCTCACTGGGTACATACTGCCTCCCAGCCCCTCACTCACACAAATCTGGCTTCAACCAGGCACACATTTCTGAAGACCTGGAGAGACAGGGCTTGTCTGGAAAGCATTCCAACTTTCTGACACTTTTTATTTTTTTATTTATTTATTTTTTTTTTGTATCAGGAATTGAACTCAGGACCTCATGCTTGCCAAGCAGGTGCTGTGCCACTGAGCTATATCCCTGGCCCTCTTTTCTTTTTTCTTTTTCTAGTAGGGGATACTGTGACTTGAACCCAAGGCCTTCACACTGAGCTACATCTCTAGCCCTTTGAATAATATTTTTAGAATTTTCAGATAAAGTCCTGCTAAATCATTAAATTATCCAGGCAGGGCTTGAACTTGGCATTCTCCTGCTTCAGCCTCCCAGAGTGCTGGGATTTCAGGCATGGGCCAACATGCTTCTCTGGATTCCCACTTTGAATGGTAAGTAGAGAAATCAGGAGAGAAAAGCCTAAGACTCAGGAGGACATATGGATCATCTGGGTCAGGAGTTCTCAGCCTTTTGCAAGCCTTGAAGGACCTTTGAATGCTGGCTACAGCCAACTGCCTTTTCTGTGGCTCTGGGTCAGGCCTCATGACTTGTATTTCTGAAGTGTTCCAAGGGTGCTACTGATACTAGTCTGGGGACCACACCCAGAGAACCACTGTTGTCATCAACTTCTGTCTGGGTGGGAATCCCCTCTGTAGCTCCTAGAAGGCAGTCACCCATCATCACTATCCCACAGGAAACCTTGTCCCCTTGCTGAGAAAGCTGAAAAAGTGAGACAGTCTTTCCTCATGGGGACAGAAATGTCCCTTCAGGTACTGTGTTATGTGTTATGGTGGGACATAACCCTAGATCGCTCATCTTCCTGAGGACTGAACCCAGGAATTTGGCCCAACTCTCTAATTTGGAGGTGGAAGAGGGCACAGAGGCTTGTGTGGTCAGGGGGAGCCAGTGTCCTTTACTTACATGTCTCTCCATGAGATGCGGGAGGCTCAGTTTGAGCTGCTGCTCTCAGGCAACACTCTGGGCAGACCTTGTCGCAGTCAGAGTGCTGCAGAAGCTGGGTGAATACCTGTTTAGGCCAATACTGGCCTTGCTGGCTTGTCTACATGTTGTACACAAAGACATTGCGCTGATGAATTTTCAACCAAGTTGGCCCAGTGGTGCTTTTTACAGTGTGGTCCTTGGGTCCCTTAGTGACAGAACCATCTGGAATGTTCATGGAAAACACATTCCAGAGCTCCTCACCATGCCTGTTACATTTTGATTTATACTGCCCCAAATGCTTGAAAACTATTTTCAACTCCATACTGCCTTCATTAAATAGCAGCTTCCATATTCACTAACATTTGGGGGCAATTTCAAATCCCTCATTAAAATTTTGGGACAATTTAAAATATCATAGGGTAAGAGGTACATGAGATTCATTATAATGTCTTATCTTATGTATATTTGAAATTTCCACAATAAAACCTTTAAAAGAAAAGCCTAGTGAACGGGAGAGCAAACCCCAGCCCAATATGTCTCTGTGAACCCCTGCCCCTTTGTGAGAACAGCAGCCATCAGTTAAAGAAAGAGACCTTGGACAGTGACTTTGGTGCCCTTGGCTGAGAAGAGTCCTAATATCACAACAGCTGACAGCTGCAGCTCAGTCAAACCTCATTTAAGCCTTCTAGAGAGGCACTTCTCCAACCTTCATGCATGCACAAAGTACTTGGGATCTGAATGAAATGCTGGCTCAGGAGGGGTGGGGCATGTCAGGTGTGGCCAAGGGACATTTTGAGCTTTGATCTCCCAAAGAACAGACTACAAACTTTAGGAAGAGTGACTGGATCATCACTAACAGTGCTTCCTTGTCTCCTGACACATTTTCCCTGAAATTAGACAGGCAGGTTTGACTCTTCCTCAAACCAGAGCTGTCTACCTCAAGTTACCGAACAGTTTCCTGCCCCATCCTGACACGGTCCACTTTCTGGCCTTGGTGCCTAGCCTTCCCTACCATATACAGTTCTTCCTCCTCCCCATCTCCTTCTCCAGGGTCCTTGTTTCTACCAGTCACACAAAACTGGGCATGGATGGAATCTCAAAAATAAAATGTGCACAGCCAGTGTCCGCCTTAGGAGGTCTGGGGTCGGGAGCCCAATTTAGTTGCCTTGCTTTCCCTCACATACCTTGTTTGTCCAGGAAAACACAGGGCATGAGTCCAGCTCTAGCATGTGCTGATCACATGACCTTGGTCAATTTACCTTTCATGCCTGCTTCTCTAGCACAAAAAACGGGATGACAAAACACTCCTTAAACCATTTAATCAATAGTATTTAATAAGCACCTGCCATGTGTCCAGGCCTGAGCTGGCCTTGGGAGACAGGGACAAGAGACATAAACAATTCCTTCCAGTAAGAAACTCACACTTCCAGCAGGGGAAGCAAGTTGTTGCTCCCATCTTGGTCTTCACGTTCTCAGCTGTTCCTTGGGTCTGAGACAAGCTACTTGGCCTCCCACGGGAGGCTGCCATGAAGCTCTAGTGGGCCAACAGCAGCTCGGGCTGCCCTTCCATGGTACAGATAAACTGGTTATCATCATCAACAAGGTTGATGACAAGTAATAATGCCTAGAGCTCTGGCCAGACCTTTGGATCTTAATGTGAATCTCTTTGGAGAGCTGGTTTAACTTGGGGGAGAGATTCTGAGCAGCATGACCTGGAAGCCCAGTAGGAGGTGGAGCCTACTCCACTGGTAGGTTAAATCAACTTTCATCACTCATAGAAGCAGCAATTATTATAAATACAGACCACATAGCTTCTGAGAGAACTTGGCACTACATAGCTCCAGTTCCAGGCTCCCCCAGCAGTGAGGTAAGACATCTGTAGCTTATGGTGAATTTTTCTTTTCTTTTTTTTTTTGAGACTGAGTCTCACTATGCAATTTGGGCTGGCCTTGTGCTTACTTTTGTAGCCCTTATGCTGGTCTTGAACTCACAGAGATCCTCCTGGCTCAACCTCCAGAGTGCTGGGATTACAGGGGTGAGCTACAATGCCCAGTTCCAGGGCTACATGGTGGGTGCCTGCATCCAGGGCCAAGATGGTGCACCAGGGCCGAGACAGTATGGCATGTGGGGCCAGGGATCAAACTTGGGTCTTTTTGCTTGCCAGGTAGGTGCTTATGCCTCTGAGCTATCCCTCCAGCCCCTATGGTTGCTTTTTTAATTTGTGGGCCCATGATGGTGAGTCTCTGAAGGACAAGCAGGATGATGGGCTGGAAGGTTTGTGAATAGGAAGCAGGAGGACTGAGGAGAAGAGAATGAGAATGAGGACAATGACCAAGCCAGCAGATGGAATGGCTGTGAGCTCACCGAAAGTGGCTGATGATGATGATGATGATGATGATGATGATGATGATGATGATGATGTGTGTGTGTGTGTGTGTGTGTGATGGTGGGATTAAACCCATGGCCTTGTGCAAGGAACAGATAGGGGGTGGGTGGGTCATGGAATCCAAACAGTCCACCCATTTGCCTGGAGTGGGGTTAGACACACTGCATCCCACCAAGGACCCTTGGATGTGTCCTGCAGGTGATAGGGAACCACTAAAAGGTCTAAGCAGAAGAGTGACATGGTTAGATTTGCATTTTGGAAGGAATACTGTGGTGATGAGTAATTAAGAGAGGTTGTTTAGGTTCTACAGAAGTAGTTCTTAAACTTCACTGTGTTTTAAAATCATCTGGAAGGCTGGTTTTTCTTTTTTTTTTAAATTTAGTCGGTACAGGGTCTCACTACGTAGCTCAGACCTGTAGTGATCCTCCTGTCTCTACCTCCCCAACACTGGGATTATAGGCCTACACCACCATGCCCAGTTTTGATGGTCAGCTTGGTGCAGGGCTGACATAGCATGTGGTACCAAGGATCAAACCTGGGTCCTTGTGCTTGCCAGGCAGGCACTTTGACCACTGAACTATCTCTCTGGCCCTGGAAGGCTGTTGAAATGCAGAGTACTGGGCCCCATTCCTGGATGGCCTCATGCATGTAGGGTCTAAGAATCTGCATTACTATAAAGTACAGTAATCCCTTAGCAGCTGGGCTGGAGACTATGTACTTAGATGGCCACCGCTCCACATGCCTACCACACTAGTGGCCATGGCATCCTGGACTCTCAGTACCCGCCCCTCCAATCCCAATCTTCCTTCAACAATGTCCCCAAGTGATCTGCATGCATACTAATGATCAATGGCCATGTGTCTGTTGGACTATCTCACAGTGAAGAGCTGAGGCTAGTTCTTGATCAATTGGTAAGTCCCTAGGTGACCTTGTACATTCACCTCTAATGAGAAACTGGGTCATATGGCTGAGGACACCTCTGCCTGAGACCTTTAATAAAAGAGGATGGTGTTTAGTGTGCAGAAAGTATGTCCCATGCCTGTGGGCCTTACTACCTAACCTTTCTCCTGCAGATGGCTGGGCTTTTAAGAACAATGTAGACATCAGACAGCACCGGAACCTCCAGGACCGCATGCGGGCAGCCCACCTGCTGCTGACCAAGAGTCCTCAGTGCCCTGTGGTGGTGGACACCATGCAGAACCAGAGCACTCAGCTATATGCAGCCCTACCTGAGAGGCTCTATGTACTCCAAGAAGGCAGGATCCTTTATAAGGTGAAGACTGGGAGCAGGAGGCACAGGGAAGGAAAGGGGGTCAACAAAGGGCAAAAGAAAAAAGAAGCCTTAGTATCAGGGAAATGTAGATTCAAATCACTGCTAGCCATAATACTATGAGTGGTCCTTTCACCTCTTGGAGCCTTAGTTTCCTCTTCTGCAAAATGAGGTGATTGGTCCCCAGCTCGCTAGGGAAAATGATGTTCATGGAAGTCCCTAGTTACATCCTCCTGGCTGCCTTCTAAATGACCTGTTCAGCCTTGGTTTGGTGTTAAGCTGAGAGATACAAACTGTTGTTTCCATTTTATAAATGATCCTCAGAGAGGGGATGTGGCTCTCCCAAAGTTACTAGGAAGGCTCTGATTTCAATTCTAGCATTGCCTGAGTGGAGCCTCAGAGTGCAGAGAATGCAGGTTCCTAGACTGGGCATGGTGGCGTGTGCCTGTAATCCCAGCTTTTGGGAGGCTATAAATGGGCGTATCACTACAAGTCCAACCTAGTAGTGAGACCCTGAACACCCTGTAGAGCCTTCCCTAAAATTTTTTTTTAAAAAAAAAAAGCAGGTTCCTCCATGCTACCATCATCATGGTTCTAGCCTAAGTCCTTCTCTCCCCCCATACCTGCTAGTCCCTGTGCAAGTACTAGAAACACAAAAATGAATTAAAAATCACTCCTTTGCTACTTCAAGGAGCTCACAGCCTGGAGACACAGAAGACCCAAATAAGAGAGAAATACAGTGTCCCAAGTGCTGAGAGATGCCAGAGGATTCAGAGCAGAATTTGAAAAAGGCCAATTTTTTTTTTTTTTTTTGCTTTGTGCATCATATAACCCCTGAGTCTCAAACAGTTCCATCCTGCTTCTAGAACGCAGAGACAGCCATAAAGGATTTGTAAAGGGAACAGTGTGAGGCATTAGGACCGATGTGGCTCCCAGACTGCAGGTTTTCTAAGCCCTGAGGAAGCACAGGTATGTCACAGGTTGAGACAAGTTTGGGCCTAAAAGCATAAGGAGCCCCAAGTAAGTGTGGTGAGTGAAAATCACTGCAAATAGAAGGAACAGGGTAGCCAAAGTCACAGGGACATATAGAGCAGGGCATGGATAGTGAACTGGGGCATCTAGGCTTGGAGGATCTGGACCAAGGAGTTTGGCCTTAATCTTTGGGCAAAGAATTGCTATAGAAGGGTTTTGAGGGGAAAGAGGAGCAATCTGATCTGTACTTGAGTAAGACCACTGGGTGAAGAATGGGCTGCAGGGAGCAGGGACTGGGGATGGCTTGGAGGTATGACAGCTGCCCAAGTGGGGGCTGAAGGGGGCCAGCTAGGGCACAGAGCTTGGACAGGCAGAGGAGGCACTGATGTGGAACCAGATAACTCAACACAGGGGCTGGAAAGAAGAAAGGTAGGTCTACAGGTCAGATGCTGGATGAGAAGCGTATGTGTATAGAGCCTTTTTTCCTTCTAAAACTCTGTCACTTTACTGTCTCTAGTTTCCACTAACCTCTCTGTCCAGTTTTCTAGTTAAATGCTGGTGCCACTTTACACACTTTCCCAGGTGTTCTAATCCCATGGTTGCATCTGCCTCTCACTGGGCTGCACACATGACTCCTGCATAGACGCCATTAGCCTATGTCTTACAAGCAAGCTCCTGACCTATAAATTCCTTGTGTTTTGGAAATCTAGGAATCCTTGATTCATTTCTTTTTTTTTTTTTTTCTTTTTTTTTTTGGCAGAACCAGGGATTGAACTCAGGCCCTTGCACTTGCCAGGCAAGCGCTTATTCTACTGAGCCATCTCCCTGGCCCCCCTGATTCATTTCTTTTGCAGGGTAAACCTGGTCCTTGGAACTACAATCCTGAGGAAGTTCGTGCTGTTCTGGAAAAGCTCTGCATTTAATCTGCACAGATCCCTCAGCTGTAGGTGACCAGCAGGAGAGCTACTTCCAGCTCAGCTCTCTCCCCAGCATAGCTGATGCCAGATGAACCACTAGTTAAGATTTTCCTGATCCTAGCAAACAACTCCCACTAGGGGGTGCAGGTCACAACACCCAATCAGGACAAACTATCATGATCAGAAGAGGAAGCAACACTTGAGCTGTTCTTGCAAGTGAACTGTGAAAGAACTCATAACTCCACACCGCTCCCACCGCTGGTCCCATTCACTGCACAGCGTCACTGAATAACAAAGCAGTCACAGTCTGCTAGCAGTCACAGTCTGCTGGCATGCTTCTGAAGTGCTGTTATCTCTCCAGCCACTCTCACAAGTGGCTCAGTACAACATCTCTTGTGTAAGGAAAACCAATCTGATCAAATTTGCTACTCCCAGAATTGACCATTTGAGATAATAATTGTAGATCCAAACAGGGGAAGAATCCCAGTTAAGGAGAGTTGAGGAATTATAAGAAGAGGTGGTAGAATCAGATGACAGTAACCTTTTCTTTGCCAAAGTATTTAAATCAATTGTTAGTGGAGGGATGATGAGTTTCCATGGTAATATATTTCCAGTTCTTTCAAGAGAAAGAGTATTCACTTTACCAACTATACTTACTGAATATATTTCTCTCCCACCATGATAACTTATCATGAGTCATTTTGAGGGATTTTTTACTTTCCAAAAGGATGAAGACCTTCACTACAGCCAACAACAGGCACTAGAAGAAGCTGTTGTTCAGTTATGCAGAAGAACATATCTGACATTGTTTCACTGATTTCTTCACAAGTCTCTTAATGGTCATTTGTGTCACATCAGACTAGTGGATAACCACTGGTATTCATCGGTTCTAATTCTGCTTCTTTTCATATTTGTTCATGACAGTCACAGTGTAAAGTATACACAGCTGTGACTTGATTTGAAAGAAAATGTTTTAAGATGCAGCAAACTAATATGGAACAATTAAAATGTATCAGGCTATTGTGGGTGGCTTCGGTGTGATCTTTGCATTTCATCTTTTAATTTGTGTCAGCCTCATCTATCCTTTATTATATCTCAATGCAATCTGATTAGCAAAAAAAGCACATGCTGGAGGTGGGGGAAGAGGGCTCATTTGGTGAGAAGAACACTCAATCTCTATGTGTTAAGTGTCAGACATGGTATTTTCTTGTGAAATACTGCTAGAGGGAAGTAATTTTTTAAAAAAAAATGTATTTGGTATAGGGTCTCACTGTGCAGCTTGGACTTTATAGTGATCCTACTGTTTTTAGCCTCTCCAGCGCTGGGATTACAGGTGTGCACCACCATATCTGGTCTTGGTGGCTGGCTCAGTGTGCCTGGGGGTGGGGTTGGCATGGCATGTGGTGCTAGGGATCAAATCCCAGTCCCTGAATTCACCTAAGCAGGCGCTTAGTCTGCTGAGCTATCTTACTGGCCCTTGGGAAATAACTTTTTACACTGAAATCAAATTATCTTCACAACATGACAAAGAATGGACTTGGGAGACATTGTACTAGCATGAAAACACATTCTCCTTGGCCATGCCTTAGTTGACACAATGCTAATATTTTTAATGCTCCACTTGATCCTTTTTTAATTTTAATGACAGGATCTAGCCATGTTGTCCAGGCTGTCCTCAAACTCCTGGGCTCACGTCATGCATCCCACTGTGCCTGGTCATTTTACTGTTGTTAAAATAGTTATTATTAATCATCTACAAAGCACAGGCTTTGTAGGGTTTTTTTTTTTTTTTTTTTTGTATTTTAGGGAAGGGCCTACAGGGTGTTCAGAGTCTCACTACTAGATCGGACTCATAGTCATCTACCTGTTTACAGCCTCCTCAGAGCTGGGATTACAGGCATGCCCCATCATGCCCAGTCTCAACTGCCATCTCAGTGTACCCCGGGGGCGGGCAGGCACAGCAGGCTTGGGAATCAAACCCCCAGCCCCTTCGCCTGCTTGCAAGTGCTTTAATCTGCTGAGCTATTTGGACAGCCTTTGTAGTATTCTTATTTAATTTCTTTTTGTCCCAAAGAAGAGATTATGTCCATTTTATAAAATGAGAAAATCAGAGCTCAGAGAGCTGAGTAATTTCTCAGCACTAGAAATAATATAGATTAAAATGTCATCTCTGATGTTAAGGCCAGAGTTTGAGCTCTGTCCCTACTAGGTTATGTGACTTGAGCTAAGCTGTGCTGGTATCTGAAGTATAAAAGAGGACACCAATAGTACCTACCATAGAAAATGTATGAGTAAAGCACTCAGAAGTGTGCATGGCTTGGAGAAAATGCCATGGAAGTCTTGACTGTTATTATGATTATTATTATTGTTCCACATCCTTGGGCTATTTGAGGACCTGGGTCAGAAGGATAGTAGGACTAAAATGACTAAAAATACTCTATCTTGCCAAAATATCTTTCTGAGAAGTATGGGTTTGTGAGTTTATGCTGAGGACAAGCAGCATTCTCTCCATGAGGTGGTGGGATGGCTAGCACTGTGCATTCTTCCTAAGTACTGACGCCCACAAAAGGAGACAGCATATATGGCAATGCCCTTCAGAAGGGCATAGTCCTCCCATGGTCCTCTGACTCATGTTGATAATGCATAGAAATCTCCCAGCTTTCAACAAATGACAGTAATTGGAACTGAGGAATATTCAGAATGGTGAGACAGACCCCCGGCTTTCCATTTAAATCTCTTCAACTTAACACATCAAACATTAACTGCGCCCTGGTTTTCAGGATGCAGAGCGGTGCAAAGATGGATAAAGCACAGCTTATCTTGCAGCAGCTTAATTTCATGGGGGAATAGACACATATTCCACCAACTCCAATTCAAGGCGGAGTATGGTGTCTTAATTTGGTCACTGGGTGCAAAGGACACAGTAAGACCTTTGAGCCAGGTGACTTTCAACCTGCATGGCACCAGTGGCATTTCAATTTGGTCTTCAGGGGTGCCCATTGCTTTCATGTTTGGGAAGGGAGAAGGACATTCCAAGTAGAAGAACTATATGAACAAAAATGGAAACAAGAATATGTGTAGGAACTGAGAGAGCTTTGGGCTCAAATCTAACTGACAATGGAGAAGTGGTGTTTGTTTCTTCAAAGGCAACCTCTCTGGGTCTGAATAAACCCATTCTGTTTGACTAATATCATAAAGCACTGGGAGCCAAATAAATAACTTTGATGTGATGTGTCCTGTTCAGACTGGAGTATTGTCTGCATTCAGAACATCAACAGACTTAAAATACTTCATTACAACCTGTCTTTGTTTTTGTTTGTTTTCTTTGTGCAGTGCTGGGAATCACAGGAAGGGTCCTATGCACACTAGACAAGGGATATACCACTGAGGCTATTCCCCATAGCCCCTATTTGTCTGCTTTGGAAAGAAGGCCCTCCCTTTGAGAGTTTTCTGTGAGGATGTCCCTTGTACTTCTTGACTTTATGTGGCAAGAGCTTCACCCATTATGATAGCCCAAGACAGGGCCTCCTGCATGTGGCAGGAGCCTAGGAAATGAAGCTCTTGACTGCCAGGAGTTGGCAGATGTGCCCAGAGTAGTCAGCACTATGGTGCTTATTCACCTCCCTAGAGTTAAACTCTCAATTCATTCCTGGCTACAGAGTATTTTCTTTTAATTTTGGTAAGTTTTGCCAGAAATTTTAAAATGTTTATTTAAAAAAATTTTATGCAGCATTAGGTATTTGGCTGAAGAGAGTTCCCAGATACCCAATCTGTTGAACAGATCAGATTACCGTCAGTCACCATTAGTTTTGTTACAGAGGACATGTGTCCTCTATTCCCTGAAGTCTTGCTTACAAATATCAGGCTGGCATCTTTAAACTGGGAAGAAACATGGCTGGCTTCAGATTCTTGTGTTTTAGTAAATTTCAGACTCAGGCACATTGCTGGACTGTCTTCTAGCAGTAAAGAGTTGGCTAGGTGTGTTGGTGCATGCCTATTGTCCCAGCTACCTGGGAGGCTGAGGCAGTAGTTTATCATTCAAGCTCAGGTGGTTAAGTCCAGGCTGTGTAACACAGCAAGATCCTGTTTTCAAAACACTTTGATCCTAGGTTTCTTATATTTTAATTTCAGGAATGTCTTCTTCTATTGCCCTGAATATCTTTCTTGTGGCACTTGCCCTATTATCTTAATAGGATCTATATATTTTTTTAAAATGTGGTTAGTATGGGGCCTACAGGGCCTCACTAACAGATTGGATTTGAAGTAATCCTCCCTGTTTTCAGCCTCCCAAGTGCTGGGACTGGTCTCATTCAGTGTGCCCCAGGGGCGGGGCCAGCACAGCACACAGGGGTTCAATTGAACCTCCAACCCCTGCATCTGCCTAAGCAGGTGATTTAATCTGCTGAACTATCTGGCCAGCCTGACCTATGATTATAGGTAATATAGCTCCTTTTCTGTCATAATCAGTGTCTTCTCTACCCATCTAGCTATTTTCACATTTTTGTTCTTGCCTGCTTCAAGTTTTTTAAAAAATCTTTTATTTATTTATTTGGTACAGGGTCTCACTACACAGCTCAGACTTGTAGTGATCCTCCTGTTTCAGCCTCTCTAGTGCATGGATTACAGGTGTGTGCCATCACACACCTGGTTTTGGTGGCCGGCATGGCACACTCAGGTTTCTGGGCCCACACAGGCATGCGGTCCTGGGGATCGAACTCAGGTTCTTGCACTTGTCAGGCAGGTGCTTAGACCACTGAGCTATCTCCCAGCCCTTACCTATTCTAATTTCACAAGCTCCCATCGAGATTTTTTCCTACGGTGAGTCTATTGTCATACCAGGTTATGTTGCTTCAAGTGCATTTCTCCTCTTCCATTGGTTCCAAGAAGCAACATTCCAATGTTTTCCTGGCAGCTACCTCTGGGTAGGGTCTGTGCTTAGGGGTGGGGGTACATTGTGGGGAGATTAGAAGGCAGCTGGATGAGCAAAGCCATCCTTGCACTTCTGGGTGTGAGGATTATAGGTGACTGTAAGTACAGGGTAGCAGCTTCAGTATCACCAGCCATGGTAGCAGCTGGCTTCTGTCTGGAGGCAGTGACATACCTCCGTGGGCAACAGTGAGTGTAGTCCTGGCCTCAGCACAGGGTCACACCTGGGCTGTTTTCCCAGTTTTATCCACTGCCTTGTAACCTATTTCCATCATCGTTTCTCCTTCTGATGAAAATATCTAGAGGGATGTTAGTTTTCCTCACTAAACTCTAAGGCTGCACGTAGGACTATCATCACCATTCTTGTGTATCAGTCAGCGCCACCAGAGAAACAGTTTCAATGCAAGATGTACAAATATATAAGAATTTGTAAGACTGACTTACTGCAGCTGCCCACAGAGGCAGGGGTGGAAGGCTGCAGTGGGGCAGCTATGTGCACAGAAGACCCCAAGGATCCAGGGGAAGGCCTGCAGCTGTGTAGGGTCCCATGTGAGTCTGTGTCAGAGGCCAAGGAGTCTGCAGGAAGCCAGGAGCCTATGTCCAAGGTGAGGGTGAAGCCTGGAGTGCCTCTGAAGAGAGAGGAGTGAGCCTTTCTTCTTTGTTCCTTTTATTCCATTTTGGTGACAATTCCCCCTCAGGTGGGTCTTCCACACCCAGAACTGTACTGATCTAATCTAGTTGTATGTCTCTTACTCAAATTGACAATTATTATACCTTTTTTCTTATGTGACTTTTACTCCTGAAAAATGTTTTGCCCACATTACCTGGCTCTACCAGCTTACTTTTTATCTTTGGTGTCATAATTTTTTCTTTTTGAAAGATAACTAAGTTCTCAGCCTGATATATTCTCTGTGTAATTTCCCTTGCAATAAATGTTCTATATCTCCTCTATTTTCCTGCTGCACCCTCCCTCCCTTTTACAGCCTCTAGTTATAAGGTCCTTACTATATATAGCTTCTTGAACTTTGGCATGTGTCAGAATTACCTGGAGGGTTTGTCAAATCACAGATTTGAGGGCTCTCACCCTCAGGATTTCTGA